TCCAGCAGGCAGTCTTGAGGTTTTCCCTGAAAATGGCCTCTGTTGGCCTCACGGGGCATACAACAAGGGGATGCGGACTGGCACACAAGCATTGCATCTCTCAAATCGCCTAAAATGCAACAAATTGTGCATTATTCTGGAGACTGGTCGCCGTGACCCAAGGCCGCAGATCGCGGGATCGCTGTCAGCGCACAGTCAGCACAGTCAGATGACAGAGACCTCCCGGCTCCCCCCACTGCCAGCATATTCGGAGAGATGTGGTATCAGTCTTTTTCTGAGACTGCCTGAGACGAGCCCTGGGACATACAGGGGTAGTATAATTTTTTCTCGAGTGGCGCTTGTTTTCGAGAGGCGTGTTTTGTTTTGAATCGCCAAAATTCTAAGCCTGTACACAGGTATTTTGTACAATTGGCGGATCAGAACGATCAGAACAATTTAAAGGAAAGTTAGGAAATGGAAGACAAATAACTTACGTTAATTTGATCAAAACATCAAATCAAGAGGTTGAGTCAGCAAGAGTGCGAGCCGCACAGTCACTTATAAGCTCTGTGAAAACTAGAGCTACAAAGTGACAAATCGAATGAAGCAAGAGAAACAATAAAAGAGATAAAAAGATGATCAAAAGGATTAATCGCTCCAAACGAGCCAATTGTAATGAAAAGGACACCCTAATGGAAAACACTTACAACATTTCAGCTTTATAAGAAGCCGTTGATGAGAAGGTGTCAAAGATATAACATATCTTGGACGAGTAAGAGGTGACAAATTTCAGTCCAGATCATCCAAGTTTTGCTCCTTTACAACTTCAAGTCCAAGCCCCTTCATTGTACTCGATTCATGCTTTTCAAAACCTTTTCAAAGACTCTCCAGGATGTAACATCTGGAATCTGGACTCAGCTTCATGTTGAAGATTTTGTCAAATTCTGTCTTTTGGTCATCGTACGGGTCGTGGTCTGGGTTTCCCTACCAAGACGCGAATCGAGCGAAGTGAAAGAGACAATATAAAGAAGATTAAAATAAGGAACTAAAATACTTGATCGCTCCAAAAGAAAATGCTGAGGAACAGATTACTGAAGTTCATCTTGAAGTCGCTCTGAGTCTGATCCGATTGAACATGAAAATATAAAAAACCTCAAATTTCAATTCATCTTTTTATCATCTATTCTTACGTTGATCTGTCAGATGAGGAAATGACAAGATTTTTAGGATGATCATGATCAATTGTGACCATGTAAGAAAATACAACGAGAGTTGAAACTTGAGCTGAGTTGAGAAACAAATAATGAACTATGGAGTGCCACCCTGTGCCACCATTCTTGACCACACTGTATGACGGGTGTACACAAAGCCACTATTTTCTGTAGCTGAGAGGGAGTCTCAGAGGAGTCTCAGAGGAGTCTCAGAAGGACCCCGGTATGCTCTTATAAGGGGTACAGATCCAAAAATGTGACTTTTGAGCTCGCTCGGAAACTTGTCCCTGGCTTTACCCATAGCTTTAAGACAGGTTTAGTCTTTTTAATCAGCTGTATTGGACTTAGCAACTCTGAAATTCAGGCAGAAACCGGTAAAATCCAAGAGAAAGCTGTTTAATCCCATATGTCGTATCTCCGCGCGAGCTCAAAAGTCACAATTCTAGATCTGTACCCTTCATAGGAGCATACCGGGGTCCTGTCTCAGAGCATCAGAGTCTCAGAAAAAGACTGATACTGTTACGCTCCCAGCATATTAACCTCGGATCGGGAAATCCGAGGCGTTCTCGGATCTGAAACCTTGGACAGAAGCCATCCGAGGTTTTGATCCGAGGTAATTTTGGGCGCATAATGATACCTCGGACAGAAACCTCGGATAAGATCTGTCCGAGGATTTGCATCCGACGATACCTCGGATCTCCCGATCCGAGGCATCTATGTTGGTGGTGCCCTTGCCCTAAGGGTCCGCCACCGCGACTTCGAATCAAATGTCATTCAGGCGGGCTAGGCCCCAAAAGCTCAGAATCGGGGCGGATAAACATGACTCTTCTGACTCTGAGGGCTTGAGCTCATCACCAACGCAATAGTAACTTTGAAGAACACATCAGTCTGCTTTTACCATGAGCAACTGTCAAGACACTACCGAGAATCACGATACACAGTCATTGCAAAGACCAAATCAACATCACGATACTTTGAATGGCTCGATCCTAGAATCTCACAATGGACGGATTGATCAAATATCGTCCTCATTTGATCTTCAAGACGAGGCGATATCCACCACTTCCTCAGCAGACGGGAACATTCCATCGATTCTTGCTGATTTAAATAGGGCACAGGATTTAGCCGATTCGATCGATTCACGGCTCGATAGTATATTAAGCCAACTTGGGGATATCACGGCTGAGCTAGAGCAAAATTTATCCGGTCACAATAACACAAAAACATCTGAAGGTAGTCAAGACATATCAAAACCCACTTGAAATTTTTCAGAACAAGATCAGCTTAGTGCATTAGACAGTAATTGTGATCAATCGAACGCTGGTTGTACTTATTGGTTGCTATCATGCTCAAGTCTCCTCAGGTCCTTAGATCATCCCGTCAAATCAGATCATCAGCAGACTAAGAAATTTCTATCGATACGTGTGTAATTCGGGCCATGCTGGGCAACCCATGTGGACCTCAATCCGGAGAGGAGATTCGATGTGGTTGCTCTATTGAAGGACATAATATGTAACAGATGACCCGAGCTCAAGCGAGTCCATTGTTCTAGTAACGCCAACCCGCAGAGAGAGCCTGGTGGGTCATACCAAGAGAGTATGCGGAGTTTTGGTGTGAGGGTAGTCGGGTCTTTGATGTCTATGCCCAGGAATCTCGGAGTTGCTTGGTTAGATTGTAAGGAATGACAATTTAATTAATTTTGAGCACTACCTTTGGTCTCTCTTCCCAGTTGGTAGGGTTATATTTGGAGGCTGAAATGTGCTACCAGGCTGTTTGTGGATCAAACCAAGGTTCTTGAAGAGCTAATACCAAGTATTGGGTTTTAATGAGGACTTCTTGTGTGATGTCATGATGTGGGATTCTTGGCAATTTTTATGTAGTATGGAGAAATGTTCAAGGAAAAGGAATGTTGATACATTGTTGGCCAAGAGCTGGGATTCTTCTCTGAGTTGTTGAGTGGAAGGTGGGGGGGGCTGATTTGTATTATGACTCATCAGGGTTGTGTTCTTGAACAATGATTCAAAATTTGGTCTTGCAGAGAGGGCAAGTCATACTTTTTGGGGAGTGATTATACTTTGGAAGGAACCTGTCAGATCTCTCAATTGACTCTTGGTCATCAAATTTAACACATCTAGTGCATACTTGACTAACATCATTGTCGGCACAGGGTTTGGTGTTGTGAGGGTCACCACAGTCGTGCAATGAGCACCAGCATTGCATGAGGAGTGGGTGTGGTATAAATCTAGACAGTTAAAACACATTGTAGGTCCTTGGGATCAGATGCACATATTGTGTACTTTTTATCCCACCACAGCCAGCATATAATCTACCTCTTTATATTCTTTGAGCTAGTTCTCTATCAAATAAATTCATAACAATGGTACTATGTTGTTTGCCAGTATATTTAGGATTATTGAGCCATCATACCAACTGAAACATTTATCTAGCAATGTTGTTTTGTTTGCTTAGTCTGAAAGGGAAGTTTGTGTCTTTGACATCAATGCTGGCTGAAACAAAGTTGAACAGGATGGTGTATCTGGTTTGTTTGTTGTGAAATCAGTGGTGCTAGTTTGTTCCAGCAATGTTTGTTTTCCAGGAGCCAATTCTTCAGTCTATTGTCCAAATTCATGAGTATGTTGCCCAATCTTAGGATGTTTGCACTACATATTTTGACTATTTGATCACCCACTTTTGTGTTTATTGAGAGGAGAGCAGCATTGGCATTTTGAATGATCTCTGTTTTTGTCATACCATTGAAAGGTTCTTTGTTTAGGATACTGTGGATGACAAGGGTCACTGCTTTCAATTTGTTTATTTCAGCATTCTTGAATGGCGGTTTTGGAGCTATATGAGTAGACAGGCATTGAGTCAATTTGGGATTTGGGATGGTATAGGCTTGAGGTTTGGCCAGTAGCAGGTGGTTTAAAATTGGTAGAAACAAGTCCATTTCTTGGCACACTCACCTTCAAGGCTGTGGATGTCTTTGCAAAGGTCCTTGATTGTTTCAATGAAAACCAACATCATTGGTGGGATACAAAGTTAAAACTGGAATTTTTTTCCCAGTTTCCCAGTTTTTGTTTTTGGCTGTGTTTGGAACTTTCTCATGTTCTCCCAGTTTCCCAGTTTGCGTTTTTGGCTGTATTTGGGAAACTGGGAAACTGGCAAAAACTCCCAGTTTTAACTTTGTATCCCCTAATTGTGATGACACTTTGAAGTGGGGTATTGTTTGAGGTAGACTGGTTCTTGACTAGCAAGGTTGGTACATGTGCCATAGCATCCAAATCAATTCCGGTACAATTTGGGTTAAGATTTTTCCAGGGAAATTGAAGGCCTGTGTGACAAATCTCTCCAGCCCGCAAAATTGGGCCACCACTGGCAAGTTCACATGATTTGATAACATTTTGCATGTATTTGAAAATGACTGTGTGTCACACTCCTCAAATCATCCACACCATCTGATACTCAGTCTGAGGCAGGGTGCTCTTTTAGAAAACACTAGGCTCACTAGATGGGATAAAGGTAAGGCTTGTAATGAATTTCACTTCTTTATTTCAACTAATGTAGTACAGCCATTCCGATATTTCTTGTTGCTCTGTTTTGAAAAAGAAAAAGAAAAACTTGGTTAAACATAAGTGCTTACTTGATAAAACTTTGAAATTGGCTGTAATTCAAGGAAATACAACCAACTTTCAGATTTTAGCTGGTTAAAACTCAGGTTTCAAGCTCATAAACTTTTTCTTTTCAAAAATGTGAGCAACAAGAAATATTGGAATGGCTGTACTTACAATCTGAAATGAAGAAAGGAAAGAGAGTAAACAAACTAGCAGTCTGTTTGGATAACTCCAGACAGACTAAAGTTAGGTGACTCCTTAAAAAGAGGTTTTAAATTATAATCATTAAAAATAATAATTGATGGAAGCTGGATCCAAGGCTTGCCTTCAACCTTAAAGTTTGACAAGTTGAAGAGTGATATAGAGGTCAATAGCCTGGTGTTGTTCTTAAAGTCACCAATTTAAGATGTTTTTACTTGGGGTGAGTAGAGGATACAGAAGGAAGGGATATTACTTACTTCTAGTCAGAAAACTCTTTCAAGTAAAAGAAGTGAACCACTAGTCTTATATTTATAAAACTTTTGATTATATACTTCAGTACAGTCAAACCCGCGCAAATGCATACCCGCGCAGGTGCATAACCCGTGATAATGCATAGAAAAAATCTAGAATCTTGATGCTTTTTACTGCCAAATTTGACAACAGAAATGCATAACCCGTCAAAATGCATAGCAAAAGTCTTCCACCCAAATTATGCGTTTGCGCGGGTTTGACTGTATAAGTTTAAAGTGGATCTTCAAAAGTATTGTGTAATAAAAGCTTGGGGGATATCTCTGAAGGCTGAGAGGGTTTATATAGGACCCCAGAATTCTCCTATAAAGGGCAGTCACAAACAAAGTTCTTTTTGAACTCTCTTGGGGCTTTACACCATGAGTTTACACATACCTCATTGGGTTTTCAGTGCACTCATTGCCCTCCTCTCATCTGTTTGAGAATTGCTAAACACCAGTTTTTAAGACACTTTGACTACTTGAAACTAGCTCATCAATGCTGAGGAGCAGCTAGTGGCTCACCAAAGTACCCCTTAAGTGTTTTCCTAATTGATTCTTGCTTTGAATCAAGTTGTCTGAAGATTGTAGATGTCATTTGATAGTTTCCTGGGATTCTGGGTTATGATAGGAAATCAGGGCCCCAAGAGAGCTCAAAAAACTTTTTTTGTGACTACCCTTTAAAGGGGCATCCCAGGGTCCTGTTCATATACCCTCCTCTCTAAACCTAACTGCAGTGATGTTTGTTTCTATCACTACAACAGTTTAGGGATTATTATTTGTTAGTATTTATTATTATTGTTTGTACTTAATTACATACAGTAATTTTAAGTACTTGTTATGTACTATAAGCATATCAACTCTTGACACTGACTTAAGAGGTGTGTTACATTTTCTCAAAAGCTTGCCCGGATCAACCACAGATAAGAGACAAGCAAGGTCAAATTTGGCCGCAGCCTGATGCAAAGCCGCTGCACAGCACATCAAAATCCAAAATTTGTCCAAACACAAATTTTCAAATACATTGACTCACTGTGAACATCATTCAACTTCCCCACATTGGAAGAGGAAAATGATTAATAGTACAGTTTGTCATAAAAAGATCCAATACCGCTCACCTGAGCCTCAACACCCACACTACATATGTGCAGTACGCTAAGTACATAGTTTCTATCATGTACATACAGGTCTGCTCAGTTTTTTGCCCATCAGAATATATAAATCACATGTTATACCACATGTAACTTTTTTGACTTGGAAAAAATTGTCCCAAGAATTCACTACATACACTGTTCAAGAAATTCGTGTCATGGTGGCACAAATTTCAAACGATTTCCCCCCCAAATACAGCCGCTGCGGACCGCAGCCCAGCTGTAATGGACACGGGATTTGGATATCCGAGCACTTCGGAATTGGCATCCTGTACCGGGCTACGGGGTTGTTTGGCGATGTTTGGGCGAGCAGTTCAATCACCCATCCAACCGCGAACCCTCACCAGCATATCAAATCAGATATCAACCTCAAGAGTCAAGACCAAACAATCTAACACCGGTCGGCCTGCAATTGTTTGGTCCTCCATACAATTGCAAAGCTCCACATCGAGCTAGCTTCCATACCGAATGCCTTTCCCCCCCACAGGACAATTCATCCACTAACCTCACCGGCCAGCCTCCGTATCTATTCGATTTCCTTCCATATCGATTCGATTTCCTCGTCGTTTTCCTCAACCACAACCTGGCCAGATGGCGTACTCGGATAAAATGACGGCCTACCACTCATCCTTTCCCTCCCTCGCACTCGAGTTTCCTCTTTCCAGAAACAAGCAGTTCACCAACTTATCCATCAATATCTCTGTCTTGCATTCTCGTGCTATGGTCAACAGAAAGCTGTCGAATATTCCTCTGTACGTCCTATCTTTTCTGGTCTCTTTTCATATCTTTGATCTTTTCTGGTCTCTTTTCATATCTTCGAATGGCTTCTCCTGATTTTTCTTCGAACATTGACTCCCATAGGCCGTCTGATGGCAGATTCGAGACTACATCTCGGGCCATTCGCACTCGCAGCTACCAAGCAATGATAGCCCAAAGCAATGGTAGCAATTTGTAAGTTTATTTCTGCCTCTGACCGTTGATTCAATACTGACTGTTGGACTCATGTGGTAGGTCACCTTTGCAAGCGTCGACCCTGCGCTTAAGCCCAATTGCGTCACCTGTCAAGGGTTTTGATCACCAGACTCCGTCGATTCCCTTTGTGAACCGTGCCTCTGCTCCCCCAACCCAGTCACAGCTGTCTTCGGCTTCTTCGGTGAACCCACACATCAACCCGTTGATCTATTCGTCTGTGGGAACTTCGTCCTTTTCCATCTCGGATTCACCTACCTCTATCTCGGCCTTCCTGGGTACTAGTACCCACACCAGTCTGAACAAACGGCCCGCAACTGAACTCGACGTCATTGAAAATGACGAGGATGGTAAGTCCCATGACTTCTGTTATTCTTTTTGCCCTTTGATATCAAAGGGTGACTTTCTTGTCCGGTGTTGCTGACCATACAAAATAGATCTTCCACTGGATGTGTTTGATGCGCCAGGTCAACCCAACGTTAACGAAGATGAGGATGAAAGCGATCCTGATGACTCACCCCCTGCCGATTTGCCCGCTGAACAAGAACGATCATTCCAAGTTACTTTCAATATTTGGCAACTTATAGTTCCTGAAACGCCTGTCAAGCGTAAGAAGACTACCGCTACATCTCGAGCTACGAAGCCAGTCAAGACCCCGGTTCCCAAGTACCAAAATATCAACCCGAAGGTCCCCACTAAGCTCACGATTATCAGCCCAACTACCATTTCTTTTGTCCTTTTCAAGCACCAGCTCTTCAAATCCTGCGACAAGAAGCACTCCTGGGTATCCAAGGCCCTTAAGAAGGAATGGTTTGAAAAGACCATCGACATTCAGGGATTTATCAATGCGACTCGCCAACATAAGGCCCAGAAGATGCTTGTTGACGATCAAGCCTCTCTATATGAATTCATGACTCATGCTCAGCTTGTTCCCGCTTCAACGCCAATGGGCTTCAAAATACACCACGAGAACCCCAAGGTAACTTCCAACGCTAGTCGTATGATGGCCAAATTACGTAAAGCCAATGCCCCGGTGGCCTCATCCGAGGACAATCCGTTATCGGAGCGCTCTGTTGGTGTAAGTCATCACTCCGTTTCTTTCCGCACTTCACCTCTCCTTTTTTCCGAATCAATAGGTTTTGGCTTATATAATGATTTTACGTTCCAGTCTGTCATTTTAAGCGAGGGGGAACGTAAAAACAATCTGTTGTTGTCCCGCTTTGAAAAGGATTTCAAAGCGGGTGAAAACGTCACCTTCGTTTTGAATCCGAAGGACCCTGGGCAATGCATGTTGCTTAACCACGCCCGAATTCGTACCTGGGCTAATGATTGGGTAGGTGCTCTCATCTCACTTCTTCAATCATCTCCCAGTCTGCTAATTCACATGACTTCACACCTTTGTAGGCTGATGGGGTCCTTGGTGTCGATGAGGTGACCCCTCCAACCAAACGACCGGGGTTTACCTGGTTTGATGTGGCCGACTACCAGAAACAGAAGGCCCTGTTCCTTGGTATGACGACTCCAAAACCAACCAACACCTCGGCTGCCAACCCTGCCAACGGGACAGTCGTTCACCATAATTATTACGGACAACCTTTTGGCCCGGCTGGAATGCCAACGCCTACTCCGGCGTTTCCCGTTGGTGGACCCCCGATGACCAACGCATACCCTTCTCCACTCGCAATGCCAGCTGATCGATTATCGCCGCCGCCTCACATCCCACCCTTTGAGGAGTTCCTCACCTTTGCGGGTATCACTCAAGAGATGAAGAAGACTCGAGATATCTTAGTTGAGGAGGGTATCAATGACTTTCATTGCTTGTTGGACCGCCAAACTTATACGTTTGCTAATTTTCGTAGCATGGGAATTCCTTTTGCTCACGCTGACGATTTGTACAAGGCCATTCCCAAATTTAACCATCATCTGAAATCACTTTGAGCTTATGACTTCCATTGCTTTGTTCAATCACTTTGTGATCTCAAAAATTTTTGTTTTCTTTCCTGATGCCCTAATTCCCTTTGTGTTTGTGTTCATCTCTCTATGCTCGAACTTATATTGTCAGCAATAGGCCACATAGGCGGTTCACTTTGTTTTAGGCGGTTCACTTTGTTTGCGAAATCTTTGTGTTTGTGTTCATCTCTGTAGGCTCGAACTTATATTGTCTAACTTCAGCTCTTGCTGTGGGTCCAACAACTCTTTGGAAATACACCTCTTGGCAAACACGAGACCTTTAGACAAGTCTACCTCGCGACATGATCCCAATGTGACCCGAAAAAATTTGTCTAAGTCCCTTCAATTGAAAATGTTCAGCTCAGGTTCATTGAACCATAGCTGAACATTTTCCCACCCAAGTCTGAGGTTGACCGGTATCCAACCCACCTTGGAGAGTGTACCAAAGTGACCTTCTTAAGGTCACTTCAGTTGCAGGCTATGGGACCTTCTGTGACAGTCGTGTTTGACTTTTTGACAGAGGAAGGCCGTTTTTGTACGGGCCTTTGTCCAACTCACAAATCCAGAGCCGGTTGGCTCTGGATTTCAATACTCTTGTGTCCTCAAATGAAATCATAAGTTCCATTGCAATTGACTAGCCGCTCAAATCTAATCATAACTTGTCATTTTGGGGACATTCAAGATTGTTAAAACTGGAGTACACAAATCAAAGGACCTGTTTTCATATCCAATACCCGCAAACTGAGTACAACTTATGCATGAGAGTATGAGTAAACAAGTCCCAAGTCCGATCCAAGATCAAATCAATCTTGTCTTCAGCAGCCGTTCGGATGAGGCTTTGGCTGCGGCGGAAGTGCGATTTCAGCACACTGAAAGCCTTTTTGATAGGATTCAGATCCGGCGAGTATGGTGGCAGGTACAGGATCCGAATGCCTCGTTCAGCTGCCAACTCTTCAATTCGGCCGCCATGGTGAATTCAGGCGTTGTCCATCACCAGGACAGAATTGGCATTAGGGTACGAATTCATGACTGGGAACTGATTTGCCATTAGGGTACATCAATATCTGTACATATCGGAACTCTGAATGACTCAAGAGATCAACTTACCAAACGATGCTTTAGAAACCCTTCAAAATCCAATCGATCATAGCTTCCCTCTTGGCAGGCCGCTGCCAGAACTCCACCACGGAATATCGCCGGTAAGAGGGAAAAACGCTTACCACCGCGACTCCATGGAATTTGGGCAGTGCGTTGGCCTCGTGGGGCCCAGGCCTTTTCCCTGCGGAGGTACCTCTCCTGGATGGCGCATTCATCTGATAGGATAAACAGTCAGCTTGACGTTTTTAAAAAAGATAAGAAACTTTGGAATAACATACCTAAGAAGACTAACATGTTGGGGTGCAAAGCACCTACCGCGTGTAAATACTGAGCACGCTTGGCGGGAGACTGGTTAGGGTGTACAGTCCTTGCTTTCTTGTGAGTCAGATTAAGGCGATCCTTGAGGTTGCTTGCCATCGTTTGTAAAGAGACCCATGTTCCGGTTCGCTGATAGACGGCGTGGCGATACTCGTCCAGGTATAGACCGGGATTGCCGTCGAGTAGCTCAATCATGAAATCACGATCTTTGTCGTTCAATCTGGTGTGTCGACCAAGACGCTCATAGTCATCCGGGTTCCGAATCACTGAATGGGTACGTCGATACAATGAGTGCCACCGAGAAATCGTGCGCGAGCTGACTGGCGACCTCAAGATGCGCTGGACTTGACCATTCGTCCTGCCTGCGCAGAGGTACTGCACCGCCAGTACGTTGATACCCACATCATATCTCCCCGGTCTCACTCTCATGCCTACAAGGGAGATGTGAAATAGTCAGAAGAGCCGTAGTAAAGAGGAGAAAGGAGAAACGACAAACCTTCGGTGGAAAGTGCTGTGACGGATGGTCTGAGGTGAAAATTACCGGGTGGCGAGGAAAAATTTTTGACGTGGCAAAATTTGATGGGTTGATGGTGCCTGAGACCTGTTTAAGAGGTTTCTCGGGGTACGGGATTGACCTATGCTCTGATCCGTGCCTGCTGTACACGGCTGGGCTGCGGTCCGCAGCAGCTGTATTTGCGGGGGAAATCATTTGAAATTCGTGCCACCATGACACGAATTTCTTGATCAGCTGTATAATTCTGTAGCTGCTCAGGCAATATTTTTGAAGCTATTTCTTAGTAACAGAAAGGGTATTACATGCAGTTGAGTTGATGAGATTACACCAAAACGTTGAGTCAGTGTATGTAGTCTATCTTTTGAATGCTTTTGTCAATCTGAAAAAAGTTACAGCATGTATTACATATGAATAACTCATCCTGCTGAGCAGATAACTGAGCAGAACTGTATGTACATGATAACCACCAATTCACTGAGCCTGCTACGCATATGTAGTGTGGGTGTTATGGAACAGGTTGTGGAGTGATAGATCAATTTATGACAAATGATACTCCCAATCATTTTTTCCTGCCCACTTGGGGAAGTTGATTAATGTTTGCAGTGACTTGACCTGCTGGTCTCTGGCTTTGGAATATCTTGAGTTTGTCCATAAAGCACAAATATCTAGCTCAGTATGATGGAATTGCATGCACTGGTTTATGGGACTTCTATCAAGCTGTGAGTGGAATACATATGTGCTTTACTTGTAAAATAAAAAGCAAATGTGATTGAGTGGTATAATGCTGCCTGATCCATCCTATCATAGAGGGGTCTCAAGCTGGATGCTCACATCTATTTCTAATTCTTATTTACAGTAAATAATGCTCCAGGCCTTGCTGTATTAAACTTAGGGTCTTATGTGTTGTCTTCCCAACAAACCTAATCTACCACAGTGAGAAGATCCCCCTTACAAGATTGCCTCCTACTCTGTGTGGTGTGGGGGAGGCCAGCTGTAGTAAATCTGGAGAGATTACTTATTCTTGCCAGGATTTACTACCACTGGGGGCGAGAGTAGGTCTGAGGAGGAATTGAATCCTCAACCCCAAGACTCACAGGGGGCAAGCCGTGAGCCTGAGGAGACAGGAACCACCCCCTACTTGGTCTTTGTGAGTCCTGCAATCAATAGGACCCGCTAGGACTAGACCCCCAAACTTCCTTCGCTTACTTGTTATAAAGGATCATCTGGTCTGGTATAAATTCCAATTATACGTGACAGTATACCACACTTTCTGTACCTACTCCATTGAACTCTAAATTTAGAGTTTGAGATCTTCTCTTGTTGAGTCTGGGTACGGGCACCGCCAGCATAGATGCCTCGGATTGGGATATCCAAGGTATTGTCGGATGCAAATCCTCCAACAGATCTTATCTGAGGTTTCTGTCCGAGGTATCATTATGCGCACAAAATTACCTCAGATCAAAACCTCGGATAGCTTCTGTCCAAGGTTTCAGATCTGAGAACGCCTCGGATTTCCCAATCC